TTAGCAAATTCACTTTTATGGAGGTGGACTGTAATTCAATTCAATTCAGTATATTTCTATAGTGCAGATTCACACATTTGAATAAATAAATGCAGCATATTGAATGCATGTTGAACAATTCTCAGATCTTGTAAATTGCAGGCTGTTATAAAGTACAATATAAAACTTTGCAACCCATAACTCTTAATCAAAGTGTCGTTTTTTGTTATTTATTTACAGTTGGCAGCTTGGATGGCAAGATAATCCAAACAGACACAATTACATTATGGTTATACACTTCAGCTTTTTTTTATAACACTAGGACATTTATAACGCTTTTATGTCCTTACAATATTCATGCAGTATGTCTAGCTGCTAACTATCTTGTTGAACCAGTTTGAAAAATGTATTGCATTTGCATCCAAGTAAACCCTCTTTGCAATCTTTGCTTTTTGTAAACCTGAAGTTACCTATTAAACAGGGAATACTTGTTTTTAGTCTTCTTAGAACTGGGCAGTAACAATAAATAACCCTTTCTTTGAAAAAAGAAAAAAAGCATCAGATGCATTAGTTGCTTTACTGCAAAACATGTTTTGGAGTCAAAAAGCTGTTTAAACTGTACACTCAGATGGGGAGGCTGGAAAAACAGCAACTGAACACTTTTGGTGAAATTCCTCAAAACGAAGCCTGAAGGCTCAGCTGTAAAAGCCATTAGCATATCTCCTTTCTCAACATGACTTCTCAGGGACCCCCCACCCCCACCACACACACACACACATCTCCCATTTCTCTCAACTCACCCTCCCATCAGCTTGCTTTCCTCTAACCAAACCACAGGAGACGGACAAAAGAGAAGCCACAAAGAAGAATGTGAACAGGAAAACCAACAGAGGGCAAGGAAGTGCACACACGTTAAAGTGTCATGACTTACTGTATGGGGTGGCAGGACTGAGCATTCTGCAGCTCTGGCCCTGGGTGAAGAGGAGAGGACCGGGTCCACTTTTCCTTACTCAAGACCCGGCTGCATGCTGTGGGGCTTCCCAAAGTCAGTTCTGCTTGTCCTGCTGTAGACTGTGCGAGTGCTGTCTCTACTTGTGACCAGCCTAATGTACAGCTCCATGGTTCAGTTCACAGCTCAACACTGCTGTGATACTCTGCCACCTGAAGAGGCAAAACAGCCACTGTCAAGGTTATTTACCTAGGGACACTTTCACAAAAAAAAAAAAAAAAAGAAGGGTGATGCTAATGAACTATAAAAGATTTACTTTTCCAAATCGTTCCCTATTATAAAGCCATAAGTAGCCATTTCCCTCTGCCTACTCATGTTAAACCCATAAAGACACCATTTAATACCCATTTACTCAAACTACTGTGTAGTATTTTCTACTTGTTAATTATCTTAACGAAAGATGAACAAACATAATGTGCACAACTCAAGCATCGCTGCATTTTTCTAGTATTTATTTCAATTTTTATCTGAAAATATTGCACCCAGCCTCCATTTTTTTCTGTTTCTGCTCCAGTTGCCTGGTCTAAAATATGGCAGGCTGACAAGCTAGTCCCATTGCGCTGAGTTACAGCAACTTTCAGAAGCGCTCCTTTTTCTGTTCACCTGAGTCAAATAGCAACACTCCCTTGTTCACATGCAGTCAAGCTCAACTGAGTTCTGCTAATGAGGTCATTATTTGAGTTAGGTGTGTTGAAGCTGAAACACATCAAACAGTTGCAGGGCCTGACCCCAAAAGATTTAAGTTTGAGACCCTTACTCCAAGGAAGCTCTTCCTTGTAGTTTAATCATAAACACACAGTTCCCTAATGAAAATAATGATTAGGATCATTTTAATAAAGCCAAATACGAAAAATCCCTGTATGTAGTATGTATTGATACTCAGCCAGTATTAAATATCCAATGACAGAGTAGTGGGAACCGACCAAAACTGCAAGGATACGTATCAAATGCGCCTTTTACTACAGGTGTTGCCATGAATAAGTTAAAAAAAGAATGGAATTTTGTTTGGTTCTATTTGATTCTAAATATCAATACTGATAAATTTGGTGTTTTTTTTTTATATTTTCCTTAAATTTGTTCAAAAATAAGGTTAATTTTATATCTTTACATGACAAAATCAAAGGATAGAAATTATTTGAATGCTATAATTTGTAAAATTTATATGGGAAAGCCATAAATGTATATTGATCTTATAATAAAACAGGAAATAAGAAATCTAAAATACTGAAAAAGGATTGAAAAAAAGATTATTTAGAGTTATTGGTATATCTTTATTATTATTTTTGGGGGGGGATTTGGAATAAATCAACTCTTCTAATTTGAGACATACAGTAAATTGTGTTAAGACTGAGTGACAAACGTTCAAAGCGGCAATTATGAAGGACAAAATAAAGGAATAAATCAGTATAAATAAATGAAATGTTAAAACATGACTGAGGTTGTCTTTTCCTGTTTTAAATTCATGTGTAAAAAAAAAATAAATAATGCTCTTAAAAATGTCTGGCCATTTGCTGAGGTCCAGCAGATTTATAGGGGTGAACATTGCCCACCTTTGTCGCCCCTTGGTGGCGCCACTGAAGCCACTTATGCATTTACTTTTTCACACTTAAATTCCAGACCATTTGGACATATATTTTATTTACTTTAATATAAACATATGTTTTAAAAGTGTTTAACTATTGAAAAGTGGAGGGAAAACCTATAAATCATCCAGATATATGTAAAATTAGTCAGGCGCTGATACTCTCCTTCTTAACCTTTTTCTGTTTTTTACTTTACAGTGTAAAAAAAATTAGCATCCTGAAAAACAGGCTTCACTTTTAAAAAGTTTTTTTTTTTTTGCAAAACAAAAAAAATAAATAAATAAATAAACAGAAAGTGTTAAGAAGACGATTTACGAGAATGACATGCAGTGCGTGCAAAGAGACAAAACCATTGAGGAAAAAAAGAAAATAAATCATGAAAAAAGGAGTAATAGGAAGGATACAAATGCGCAAAAAGCAGAACAATTATCTGCATGACTCAGGAAATGAAACACATTTGTCAACAAGCGAGGAAATGTTTACAGACCTGACCATCCCTGGATGCGCTCTGTTGGTACTCCTGTGCAGAAAGTAATCCAATATTCCTCCAAATACAGCAGGGGGAACGGATTATGGATGAGTGTGCAGGAGGGGGGCTGCTCTTTCTCGTTCTCTCACTTGTGGGACCCTATCCTCTTCTCTCCCACTCTCCCTCCCCCATCTGACTCCCACCTTCGTCCCTCCCTCCTGGTGACAAGAGAACTGGACACACACATCCCCTCCCCCAACCATGCACCCTCCTCCTCCACCTTCTGTCTTTTGTTCAAACTATTCCAGCAGGAAGAGAGAGAGAGAGAGTGTGAGAGAAAAATAACCAATCATGCAGTGTTTCAGAAAAAGGGCATACTTATCCCTGCTGTGTGTGCATGTATATATAAATATTAAATGTTTCAGTGTGCACAGAGGGTCACTGGTGTCTCATCTCACTTGGGAGACTACAACCCTTCTGTGTGATGAATGGGTGTGTTGGGAGGTATGCAAGGGGGAAGATTTCTTTGAATTTTCTCCTTCAGTGATCGCATGAGAAGTTCAGTTATTGCCAATGACTCCTATCGATCCAGTGCATTGATCTGAGTGTTGCTGGGAGGGAAGGCTTAAAACAACCATTTCAGTATTACCTAATTCCTGTTGTGACCCATCCCCCACAATCCACTGCACACTTTACACTCACGACAGGCATCAGGCTGGAAACCTGCAGTAAATATAGCTCAGTAGATTCATTCCCTTCACCTGTTATCTATATAGATCATGCAAACATTTCCTTCCACACTTTCTTACCAGTTCCCTCTTCTTTTTGTCCCGATTAAGGCTACTTACTTGCAGAAGCACATCTGTTACACTGCATTTAGGTTCTGACTTTGCAGGAATTCTGAATATGTTTGACATGAGTGAGCTAAATTCTTGCTATTGGTTCTAATAGAAACAAAGAGGCTGATTTACTTTGTGCAGTTTTCCTGTTCTTACTATTAAATAAAAACATCCCAACAGCATGATACCCTTACCACCATATTTCATCTTTTGGATCATTCCCTCTTTTGCTAAACACAGTGTTTTGCTTGTAAAAGGAATAATTAACTTTTTACATGTTTGCTGGGTCTCCTTAAGGGCTTTGTGGATTGAACAGTGTTGCATGAGGTATTGAAAGGTTGGCCTAGTGTTTTACACCTCGCTCATTTTTTAAAACTTCTCCACAGCTTCATCTCTGACCTAGTCAGCCAAAACAAAAACAATGTTTCGTCTTTCCTCAGCTTCACAGTTATGCTTCGCTGTCTGTCGGTGTATCTAAAAAAATCTTTGTAAAAAAGCCCTGTCTGTATGTGGAAAGGTTTAATGCCATGAATACATTTTAATACCACTGCATTACTTTGTTCTGTCTCTCTCTGTACTATTACTAAGTCACTTGCTACAGTAAACAAAAAAAGTATGGGTGAACTGAGAAATAAAATATTTCCGTCAATAGCGGTGAAAGTAGATGCTTGTTATAAGATCTTTCATAGGTGACTCAGAAGAGTAATGACTGGTGCGGTGCTCAGCTCTTTCAGCCTTACATGCTTTGCTGACAGACCCTGAAAAAAAGCCACTCTGTTATTCTGCAGACAAGAAAACAATACATCTAAACAACTCTAAATGTGCTGCTGAAGCTAATCCTTTTAAATGCAGGTAAGGTGGGCGGGTTCAATTCTCTCTGCCTGAGTGAAAGCCACATGATTTGCTATCTTGGTTTTTCCAAAAAGCCTCTTATATATATATATATATATATATATATATATACATACAACAATAATCCCAGGACCAGAGCTGCAATGATCATGTATTACCTTAACTAAAATCTAAGTAATATCTTTGATTGTTTTATGTTGTGATAATGCACCAAGTTCAGTGGAAGACAAAAAGATTTTAAGATTTTAACAATATGTCAGAAAAAAATTGTTATCTGTGTCGAGGTTCAAATAATTCATATATTGCAGGATTTATTCTCATTGAATTCTGAGCCAGACCTGGTAATATGTTCCATTTTTTTGTGTTTTCCTAAACAGTATAAAGTATCACTAATGTAAAACNTTATATATATATATATATATATATATATATATATATATATATATATATATATAGGAGAACAGGCCCAACCATAGAGGTTAGTATTTTCATTACATTTCCCCTACTTTAATGCAACACAAATGTATACAGTAAAAAAACAGGGTTCCCACAATCATACATGTGAGGCTTCGGTGAAATTGGAAATGGTAACTCTGGCCGTGTTCTGTTTTGGGATAGTGGGTGGGATAGGTCACATGATATCACCCATGAGAAGCTCAGCTGTTAGCCATTCTAATTCGGTCTAAAGCAGCTGAGCACTGACCCACTGCTCCATTGAACTGTCCCTGTAATGATACAAGTGCAGCTATGTGTGTTTGTGTGGGAGGGGTGTGCGTGCAACGTGAACATGTAGACGGGGTGAGAGTTACAGGCAAAAATTAATAAAACGGTGGTGTCACTTTAAATACCAGATTTATTTTGTTGCTATTGAGAGACAAATTTAGATACATATTGTTAGCACTTAATAATAAACTCCACCTATAATTATGCTCATATTCACTGGGTTTCTAGGTTGATGGTGAGTAAAATAACAAAAAGGGGCAGAGACAACAGAAATTTTTCTTGACTTTTCCAACTGTTGATGAGCTTTTGATTGGATATTTTTCAGCAGACTTTGAAATACTTGACATATTATATCTCCTTAACAATAATAGCATGTTACATTTCTAAAGTATTGTGTGCTTTTAGCCCCTTAATCACATAACAGATATGGGTTGTTGTCAAAGGGATTTGCAAATGAGCATATTACATAAACATCACATGGTTTCTCTGAAGTTACCGATTAATCCAACACTTGCCTAAAAAAAAAAAAAATCATTCTATAAACAAAAAAAAAGGAAGAATGTGTGCAACAAATATTCAACATAAATGTAGTAGTATTAAAGAATGTTTGCTATTTTGTTTTTTAATCTCTTCTTTAAGATGACCTGCTAACATCATGTATTTAAGTAATCATATGTTTAACTTAAAGGAAAGTTATAACAGAGAAGGGACGTTATCTCTTTGTCGCTCAGATTATATAAATTTGACAGACTAGTTGCCCTAAAAGAGAGTGGTTGTTCGAAATAATTTTTTCCCTGCCTTCCAAGAAAATATAAACATCACTTTGCATTAAAATAAATGCTCATGAAAAAAAATCTGTTAACCACGTTTTCACCCAAATTAACTTAGTAATAATAACTACAAAAAAAGATTTATTTCTGTCATGAAGAATCCTAGTGCTAGAACTGGCTCCACTGGATGATCCAACCAAGGCAACAGGTTGCCGCCAGTACAGAGCTTGCACGGGAACACCACATGTAAGTATAAGAGGTAGGCAAAAATGTCCTTTGCATTTATATAAGGCTGAAACTTTGGATGTGTCAAGGAGGGTATTGAGGTTATTTTTCCCCAAGAGAAATATCCAGGACAAACAAAATTTCAGCAGGTAGTAACCAAAATAAACTGCAGTTATTCTCTTAGATGTTTGGGGTTTACCATTAGTTCTCTTCCCTGCTGAACATTGAACCTTCATTAAAGCATACATTCTGTTTTTTTAGTTAAAAACAAAACCATGTATATTGGGGCCAAAATATTCTCTCAGAGCAATTTGGCGATGAAAATGTTTTATTGTCCTGGGAAACAGACACATCAAAATGTTTTGTTGTTGTGCTGACTGCCAGCAAAACCCCTTAGATCAGGGGTGCTCAAGTCCAGCCCTCAAGAGCTACTATCCTGCAACATTTTTGATGCACTCCATTTTAACACACCTGAATCAAACTGAGAGTGCAACTGAGTGTTTTGCCATATATAAATGGATTATGTGACAGGTTAGTTGTAAGGCAAAGAGTCAGAGAGCAACAGACTCAGAGAAAAGGAAAATCATGAACAAGAAATATTTCAGAAAAGAACAGGATGTGTGCATTGTAGGTATTGTAGGTAGGTAGGTACTGCAGTAATATTGTTTCTCTAGATCTCCATATTTTCCAAAAGCTTTAAAGAGAACATGCAAAATAACACCTTGCTTGTGCTTAGTAAGTCAGATCTTTTAATAATGTTCAGATTTCAACAAAAAGCATCAACAATTACTGTAATGTTTATCTATGTTAATGATACATTTTCCTCTAGCTCCAGAGTTACCTGTGGAGTACCACAGGAATCAGTGCTAGGACCAACTCTCTTTACTATATATATGCTCCCAGTTAGTAGAATTATTAGACAGCATGGGATTAATTTCCACAGTTATGCTGATGATACTCATCTATATCTATCCATAAATCCAGATCAAACTAACCAATTAAATAAACTACAGGCATGTCTTGAAGACATAAACATCTGGATGATGCTTAACTTTCTGCTTCTGAATACAGAAAAAAATAACTTTTCCCATTCTAGAGTGTTTGTTAGGTTCCACACATAACTTTATGTTCTTTCTGCTTTTTCTTGTCATAGTAGCTCCATCTCTCTTTTTTTTTTCCTGTTCAGCTGTGACAGCATCCTGGATTAAAATATCAGTTGGGCTGCTGCCATCAACATCTCACTTTATAGATGTTGGAGCTTGTCATGTTTTTCAGTGTAGTCGTGTTTGTTTTACTGTGACTAATAAGTAATACAAACTGGAGACCTCCAGTATTTGTTTGTTTTCCATCTTCTGACATAGGAACTGGCCTGGAGCTTGTCTGCTTGGCTGTGTCTTTCCTGAGCAGCCATCTCTGGAGCGAGTTAACAGTTACCTTTTGTATATCTGCTTTCTTTTTGTATGCCTGCAGTGTGTCTCGACAAATGGCCGCTCACACTGAACCTGATCTGCTGGCGGTTTCTTCCTGTTAAAGGGAGTTTTTCCTCTCCATTGTTGCAGCATGCATGCTCTGAGGTAGGGATTGCTGAAGAGTCAACAACAAAATGCAAGAAAAAATCCTTGCAGCAAGCTCTTTCAGGAGTCTTGAAGGTCAGTGACTCAATGCAATTAACTTGTTTTCCTTGACAAAAACCACTCAGATATTGTATCGTCAAAGAGTCTTGAGATGACGTGTTGTGAAGTGGCGCACACGAATAAATTGAACAGATGAATATTGCTATAGTTAAATGCTGCAAAGCC